CAAAAGCTGCAGCGCTATAGATCTGCGATTAAAACTGCATCACTTACATATGTGCAGTGATCAATCAATCAGTCAAATGTCGTACGTCATGCAGGCCTTGGTAGGGTTATGCTTCCGTGGATCCCGGGACAGCGGCTGGTTGGAAAAGAGACAGTGATAAACGTACCGGTGGGAAATGGACTGGTGAGGAACATGGATTGGATGCAACTATCGAAGAGTAGGTATGAAACATTCAGACTTTCCTCCTAAGGGATTTTGGTGGGGTGTCATCTGTTTATCTTCATAATGGAAAATAAGGTTCTTCGCTCTGGCAGCGGTGCGTCGCATGCAGACAAACCTAAGTGGCTGATGGGGACGCTCATTGCGGAAGACCTGGCTGGCGGACTGTTGCACAATCAATCAGTCAATTATGTTTTTCAAGTAGTTGGTCTTCGATATGGTTTCATCCCAAAATACAAAATTCAATTGTTTAACGTAGAAAAAATGATATGAAAAGTTTTCACAAGACAAAAGCATATGTTCGCTCAGTTTCTGCTGAAATTCAGCGTTTTTTCTACTTCTGACTGGTGGTTAACTTTGCTTCTAACCCTACAACTGCAGCTGACGTGTTCAAAAGCTGATCGCATAGCAGCTTTGCCCATAGATCGAATAAAGTCGATGGCAGCAGGCCACGTTGGCCATTTTGAATATTTCGAGTGGTGCGTAGCCCAAGGGCGGAAAGACTACGAATGATTAACGAAATAAAATTTATAGGCTGCCCTCAACCATGAATCGGAGGACAGTTTCAAAATCAGAAATGCTATGCCACATTAATGAAAATTTATGGATGCTGATGGGATTCCCACCATGTTTCAAAGAGAGCAGGAAGATAGCGGTCTGAACATTCTTGCCACTGCTGATCTGAGCTTCCCATAATGGTTTGCCTTTGAATGCATTGGATTCAAATATTTCGTTAGCGAGATTTTACCAGAACTGAGGATTAGCGAGATATCTCATGACGCATTAAAGGAAGTTGGTTGATTGCATATTTTACCTGGATCTCTTGATTAATTAATTTGCGTTAGTGCATGAAACCCGTGTTGAAAACCTCTGCTTGAATATCGGAGATTAATTACAAGTAAATTAAGTAAAAGTAATCAATAATTTCGCAAATTGGAAATATCTGCGATGCTTTAAAATGTTTGCTCATTGAATGATAACAAATGAGATTAGCAAAAATTTACCGTAATTACGGCCCTCATTCCTGTTGCAGGGGGTATATGCAAAAGCTGAAATTGAACGATTGCAGATCTGCGCTTCATTTGTACTATCTCGATAAAAATTTAACGAACATATGAATAAATTTATTTATCCGCGAAGATGATCCTTTGGTTAAGTAGCAAACCGGAAGATAGCGCATAAAAAACCCTTTAATTAAGGTCATCTGATATTTTGGACCAGATTCTGCCCATCTTCAGAGTACGATGTACGTTGGTCTCAATAGCGCACATCTGGTCTTAATTAAAGAAGAATATTTCACGGGTTGTCTTCCCGTTTGTGACTTACCAAAGCACCATATCATCTCCCGCATAAAGAAGTCATGTGTCTTATTCGTGTAGATATGAATATTGAGGTGGGCGAGGGAGCAGTAGTGAAAAAGGATACTAGTTTGCAGTGCACTTTAAAAGTGACGGGTTCATGTCTTCTAACAACTAGTGCCCTAGTTCCGTTGAACAAGGAATTTGCCTCAGTGTGCTTTAGCGCATCCAGCCGAGACACGGGTAGCAAGTGATTGGTTAGCTTGCGGACAGCAGGGTCTGAAAGGCATTTTGATGGGAAAATGCCAGACAGTGCGAGTTCTGCGGCGATGTTGTTTCATGTGTGTCGGTTAAGGAGTGGGCTGAATCGCCATAAACCGCGTCCCTTATGGTTACCGTTCACCTTGA